ATGATAGTAGAGACTGTTGTTGGTGATGAAGCTCCATTTACAGTATATGTTATCGGTGCCGTTTTGCTAACTGCTGAGGTAGAAGCGATGGTATGAGACACCGTTGGAACAGATGTAGTAAGGGGGGATATGGCCGGAGTCTGGTTAGTTTTGATTGATGCTATAGCAGTAGTGGTTGGTAAAGAGAGAGCATTATCGATCATTATTGAAGCAGTTGTTGGAGCCGGTGGTCCTGCAAAAGAGATGATAGTCGTTACTGGTGGATTTATGGTAGATGTTAGGGTCACAACTAAGTTAGTTGATGTTGAATCTGTTGTTTTGGTTACAGCAGAGTCTGTGGCGTCAGATATTCTTGGTGTAGTTTTGGTAGCCATCGATGTGGAGTCAATTATCCTTGATGGTACTGGAGTACTTCCAGCAACCAGTGATATATTCAGATTTGTTGTTGGCATTACATCATTGGTATTCTTCATTGTGGCTGCAGCTGTAGGACCTCCTAGGGTCGTAGATATTTTAGATGTTATTGGGGCAGTTCTGGAATCTAATAATGCTGATCTAGTTATATTGGGCATTATTAGTAAAGATGGAGATACAGAAGGAGTAATGTTGGACGTTCCAGGCACTGCTGTGGTTGATGGTGATGAATACTGACTAACATTAGACATTTCTGCGGCAGTTCTCGCATCTAACGATATAGAGGTACTTAAAGCAGATATTATAGGTGCATTGGTGGCAGCTGGGGACAGCAATGTGGTGGCGTTATACCATTTTGGTGCATCTGAAGTATTGGACTTTGGCATGGTGGTTGCATCTGCAGAAGAGACTCCGGTGATATTAGACGCTGTAGCTGCTTTATCTGACATAATGGTTTTAGTGATATATGGTGTTACGGGTGCAGTTTTGGTAGTCAGTGATGTGAAGTCTGTGGCATTAGACCGTATAGTCCCAGTAACTTGTGGTATAGTGGTATTCATGCTTAATGTTCTTGAAGTTGAAGCTGACCCGGTGTTATTGGATACTGTTGGTGATGGAAGCTTAGTAACATTAGATGTTATTGGCACAGTTATGGTAGTGAATAATGCTGAACTAGCTATACTGGATAATGATGGGAAACTCAAGGTAGCTTGTGTTGTGTTGGAAGGCAGATTGGACAATATTGGTACAACTTTGGTGGATGGTGATGTTTCATTGGTGACAGAAAATGAGGTTGGTTCAGTTTGGACGGTTGTAGAGTTGAGAGACATTCGTAGAACTGTGGTAGTTGGTGATGTAGAGTTGGTCATATTAGACATCATAGGTGCAGTTTTTGCCAATGATAATGAGGAGTTGGTTACATTAGATGGCAATAGTGTTGTTGATGTTCCCAGTGATGTTGCTTGCCTTGTAAGAGTAGTCATCAGTGCAGGTGTGATAGCTGGAGATGCTAAGTTGGTTACATTAGATGATATGGGTGACGTTTGGCTTCCAAGTGATGGGTTTAGAGTGACAGAAGCCATCGTTAAGGCAGATGTGGTAGCTGGTGAAGTAGAGTTGGTAATATTAGGTGCTGCTGGTGGCAATGATGGTAATAGTGTTGATTTGGTTGCCGATGATGTTATTGGACTTGTAAGAGCCATCGTTGTCCCAGGTGCTGCACTTGGTGATGGAGAATTAGTAATACTAGATGATGCTGATACAGCTTGGGCAGCTAGTGATGTGACATTAGACATATTAGAAGATATTGCTTTGGTTGTAGTTCCTACTGATACTACAGAAATTGGTGCAGTTATGGTTGTTGATGATGTTGGGTTGGTTGGTGCAGTTGTGGCTGTTGATGATGTTGGGTACGTTGGTGCAGTTGTGGCTGTTGATGATGTTGGGTAAGTTGGTGCAGTTGTGGCTGTTGATGATGTTGTGTAAGTTGATGATGTTGGGGTAAGTTGGTGCAGTTGTGGCAGTCGATGGTGTTGGGCGAGTTTGTGGGTAAGTTGGTGTAGTTGTGCCTGTTGATGATGTTGGGTAAGTTGGTACAGTTGTGGCTGTTGATGATGTTGGGTATGTTGGTGCAGTTGTGGCAGTCGATGGTGTTGGGCGAGTTTGTGGGTAAGTTGGTGTAGTTGTTGTGCCTGTTGATGATGTTGGGTAAGTTGGCGCAGTTGTGGCAGTCGATGGTGTTGGGCGAGTTTGTGGGTAAGTTGGTGTAGTTGTGGCTGTTGATGATGTTGGGTAAGTTGATGATGTTGGGTAAGCTGGTGCAGTTGTGGCTGTTGATGATGTTGGGTAAGTTGGTGCAGTTGTGCCTGTTGATGATGTTGGGAAAGTTTGTGGAGAAGTTGGAGAAGTTGTGACTGTTGATGATGTTGGGAAAGTTTGTGGAGAAGTTGTGACTGTTGATGATGTTGGGTAAGTTGGTGCAGTTGTGACTGTTGATGATGTTGGGTAAGTTGGTGCAGTTGTGGCTGTTGATGATGTTGGGTAAGTTGGTGCAGTTGTGGCTGTTGATGATGTTGGGTAAGTTGGTGCAGTTGTGGCTGTTGATGATGTTGGGTAAGTTGGTGCAGTTGTGACTGTTGATGATGTTGGGTAAGTTGGTGCAGTTGTGGCTGTTGATGATGTTGGGTAAGTTGGTGCAGTTGTGGCTGTTGATGATGGGTAAGTTGGGTAGTTGGTGCAGTTGTGGCTGTTGATGATGTTGGGTAAGTTGGTGCAGTTGTGGCTGTTGATGATGTTGGGTAAGTTGGTGCAGTTGTGGCTGTTGATGATGTTGGGTAAGTTGGTGCAGTTGTGGCTGTTGATGATGTTGGGTAAGTTGGTGCAGTTGTGACTGTTGATGATGTTGGGTAAGTTGGTGCAGTTGTGGGCTGTTGATGATGTTGGGTAAGTTGGTGCAGTTGTGGCTGTTGATGATGTTGGGTAAGTTGGTGCAGTTGTGGCTGTTGATGATGTTGGGTAAGTTGGTGCAGTTGTCACTGTTGATGATGTTGGGTAAGTTGGTGCAGTTGTGACTGTTGATGATGTTGGGTAAGTTGGTGCAGTTGTGGCTGTTGATGATGTTGGGTAAGTTGGTGCAGTTGTGGCTGTTGATGATGTTGGGTAAGTTGGTGCAGTTGTGGCTGTTGATTGATGATGTTGGGTAAGTTGCTACAGTTGTGGCAGTCAGGGGTGTTGGGCGAATTTGTGCAGTTGTGCCTGTTGATGATGTTGGGTAAGTTGCTACAGTTGTGGCAGTCAGGGGTGTTGGGCGAATTTGTGCAGTTGTGCCTGTTGATGATGTTGGGTAAGTTGGTGCAGTTGTGGCTGTTGATGATGTTGGGTAAGTTGGTCCATTTGTGCCTGTTGATGATGTTGAGTAAGTTTGTGAGTAAGTTGGTGCAGTTGATGATGTTGAGTAAGTTGGTGCAGTTGTGGCAGTTGATGACATTGGGTAAGTTGGTGCAGTTGTGGCTCTTGCTGACGTGGGGAAAGTTTGTGGATAAGTTGGATCAGTTGTGACACTTAATGATGTTGGGTAATTTGGTGCAGTTGTGGCAGTTGATGGTGTTGGGTGAGTTTGTGGGTATGTTGGTGTAGTTGTGGCAGTTGATGATGTTGAGTAAGTTTGTGGGTAAGTTGGTGCAGTTGTGGCAGTTGATGTTGAGTAAGTTGGTGCAGTTGTGGCAGTTGATAGTTTTGGGTGAGTTTGTTGGTAAGTTGGTGCCGTTGTGCCTGTTAATGATGTTGAGAAAGTTTGTGGGTAGGATGGTGCAGTTGTGGCTGTTGTTGATATTGGGTAGGTGTGTGGGTAAGTTGGTGCAGTTGAAGCAGTGGATGATGTTGAGTAAGTTTTTGGATCCATTAAAACAGCATTTTCAGCTGAAACTTTGGCCAAATATCCAGAAGGGTAAGTGTTGGTGGCAATATTTCTGGTTTTCCCTTCCATTATCATGGTGGCAGATGGTCCTGAGGTGACCAGAAGTTCAGTGGAAGCAGTTTCTGGACCAGGAAAAGTGACCGCCTGTGGTCTTTTAGGAGGTGATGTGATGGTTTGGTTTATTATAATAGATCCCACATCAGTCATATTGCTGTTCGACAACATGGTCTCACTAACAGGGTTTGGAGGAGAGATGGGCTTCTCGGATTTGGTTGGAGAGAATATTGGTGAGGACCCTCCGCTCTGAAAAGTTGCTGGAACTGAAGACTCTGAGGGCACTGGGTCCACAGCAGTGACATTTACAGAGACAAAAAGTTCTGGTGTCACTGGAGATAGTTCAGTGATATTCCTTGAAGGATCTTTCCTGTTCCAAGTTGGGGGTTGTGAGCTGATGTCGGAGAGAAGAGGTAAGGGCACTAAAATGGTAAAAAAGATAAGATGTTATTATTAAAATAAATTACATTTTCAAAAGCAGAAGTAGGCAGTCTGTGTAGATGACAGGAAATCAGTAATCTGGGGAAAATGAAGCTACCGTTGCTCCGTCAGAGAACATATTGGCACCCTACTTGCAGATCAGCAAGTCAAAGTGAAATTACAACTCCTGATCTGCACACTTGTTCCAGGCCTGTGCCTCAAAAAGTTTGAAGACCAATGGAAAAGCATGGCAGCCAGGCAACTAGCATGTCCAGAAACTGAGGGCAGGAGTGGTGGCCTCCATGATCTTGTGCCACAAGTGTCCTTTAATGGCCATCCCATGCTATCACACAAAGAAAAGAATATCTCTTTCCATGTGTGTTCTCAAGGGTATTGCAGAGAGCTTCCCCTTACCTCTTCTTCTGGGGTCCCCTACTGGCTCTCTCTGCTCCTTCTCTTCCTATGGTGGCACATATGTGGGCACACTCCTGAGCCGGGCTGTGTGCATCCATAGACACACATGATGCAGTTTGGCCCCACCCCCTTCTCCCTCCTCATAGGATTTAACTGACAGCCAATGGCTCCCACTGCTCATAGCCAAACTTGTGAGATCAGGCCAAGGGGAGAGAAGACCTGCCAACGGGCACAGCAACTGGATCGATGTAAGATTTGCAGTAAGCCATTTGAGTCCAGAGAGGAGCCGGTACAACTGTGCAAGACTGAAGGGGAGGAGCCGGTACACCTGTGCAAGACTGAAGGGGAGGAGCCGGTACACCTGTGCAAGACTGAAGGAGAGGAGCCGGTACACCTGTGCAAGACTGAAGGGGAGGAGCCGGTACACCTGTGCAAGACTGAAGGGGAGGGGCTGGTACACCTGTGCAAGACTGAAGGGGAGGAGCTGATACACCTGTGCAAGACTGAAGGGGAGGAGCCGGTACACCTGTGCAAGACTGAAGGGAAGGAGCTGGTACACCTGTGCAAGACTGAAGGGGAGGAGCCGATACACCTGTGCAAGACTGAAGGGGAGGAGCCGGTACACCTGTGCAAGACTGAAGGGGAGGAGCCGATACACCTGTGCAAGACTGAAGGGGAGGAGCCGGTACACCTGTGCAAGACAGAAGGGGAGGAGCCAGTACACCTGTGCAAGACCGAAGAGAATTTAATATCGAGACAGACAAAGAAAACATCTCCTGTGTGCCTCAGACAGAAAAAAAACAAATGAAAGCCTCTGACATCTGCTCCGCTGATACAACAACATTGCCCAACACTTCATTAACAGATCGTTTACTTGGGCAAGAATCCAGAACTAGGAGGATGTGACATGTAATCGACATACAGTGAAGGAAATGTGTATTTGCTCCCCGGCTGATGCTGAATGTTCGTCCCTCACACAGAAATGATCGGTCTAACAATGGAATGTTCGCCCCTCACACAGAAATGATCGGTCTAACAATGGAATGTTCGCCCCTCACACAGAAATGATCGGTCTAACAATGGAATGTTCGCCCCTCACACAGAAATGATCGGTCTAACAATGGAATGTTCGCCCCTCACACAGAAATGATCGGTCTAACAATGGAATGTTCGCCCCTCACACAGAAATGATCGGTCTAACAATGGAATGTTCGGTGTAACACTGAGAGACCGAATACAACAACAAATTCAGCAGAAATGTGTCTAACAAATGATGACGGATCTGCATGTTCATGAGGGAAAGAAGGATTTGATCCCCTATCATTCAGCAGGATTTATGGCTCCCAGGTGTCTTTCGTACAGGTAGCAAGCTGAGATTAGAAGCAGTCTCTTAAAGGGAGTGCTGCTAATCTCATTGTGTTACCTGTATAAAAGACACCTGTCCACAGGAGCCATCAAACCATCAGATTCCAAACTCTCTCCACCATGGCAAAGACCAAAGAGCTGTCCAAGGATGTCAGGGACAAGATGGTAGACCTACACAAGGCTGGACTGGGCTACCAAACTATGGCCAAGCAGCTTGGTGAGAAGGTGACAACAGTTGGTGCAATCATTCACAAATGGAAGAAACACAAAACAAGTGTCAGTCTCCCTAGGTCTGGTGCACCATGCAAGATCTCACCTCGTGGAGTGTCAATGATCATGAGAACAGTGAGGGATCATCCCAGAACTACACGTGAGGATCTTGTCAATGATCTCCAGGCAGCTGGGACCACAGTCACCAAGAAAACAATTGGTAACACACTACGCCGACAAGGACTGAAATCCTGCAGTGCCCGCAAGGTCCCTCTGCTCAAGAAAGCCCATGTCCAGGCCCGTCTGAAGTCTGCCACTGAACATCTGAATGATGCAGAGGAGGACTGGTGGGAAGTGTTGTGGTCAGAGGAGACCAAAATCCAGGTCTTTGGCATCAACTCAACTCACCGTGTTTGGAGGAGGAGGAATTCTGCCTATGACCCCAAGAACACCATCCCAACTGTGAAACATGGTGGTGGAAACATTCTGCTTTGGGGGTGTTTTTCTGCTAAGGGCACAGGACAACTGCACCGCATCAAACGGACTATGGACGGGGCAATGTACCATCAAATCTTGGGTGAGAACCTTCTTCCCTCAGCCAGGGCATTGAAAATGGGTGGTGGATGGGTGTTCCAGCATGACAATGACCCAAAACACACGGCTAAGGCAACAAAGGAGCGGCTCAAGAAGAAGCACATTAATGTCCTGGAGTGGCCTAGCCAGTCTCCAGACCCTAATCCGGCTGAAAATCTGTGGAGAGAGATGAAAGTTCGAGTTGCCAAACGTCAGCCACCAAACCTTAATGACTTGGAGAAAATCTGCCAAGAGGAGTGGGCCAAAATCCTTCCTGGGGGCCAACTCCAGGAAACGTCTGACCTCTGTGATTGCCAACAAGGGATTTGCCACCAAGTACTAAGTCATGTTTTGTGAAGGGGATCAAATCCTTCTTTCCCTCATGAACATGCAGATCAGTCATCATTTGTTAGATGCATTTCTGCTGAATTTGTTGTTGTATTCTGTCTCTCAGTGTTACACCGAACATAACATTGTTAGACCGATCATTTCTGTGTGAGGGGCGAACATTCCATTGTTAGACCGATCATTTCTGTGTGAGGGGCGAACATTCCATTGTTAGACCGATCATTTCTGTGTGAGGGGCGAACATTCCATTGTTAGACCGATCATTTCTGTGTGAGGGGCGAACATTCAGCATCAGCCGGGGAGCAAATACGCATTTCCTTCACTGTATGTGTTTCGTAACAGATCGATTTCCAGAAGAAAATATGACTTTTGGCGATTCGACTATATACAAAGCTCCAAATGCACAACGAATGTCAACAAATAAAAAAAAAAAGTATAACGAAATATCAAATGCATTAATTTCAATGTGTGTCAGCACACCATAATTGCATATGTGTGAAACTGACTTTCCCCCTCTTCCAGTCCGGACACTTTCCCCTCCTTCCAGTCCGGACACTTTCCCCCCCTTCCAGTCCGGACACTTTCACCCCCTTCCAGTCCGGACGCTTTCCCCCCCCTTCCAGTCCGGACGCTTTCCCCCCCTTCCAGTCCGGACGCTTTCCCCCCCTTCCAGTCCGGACGCTTTCCCCCCCCCCTTCCAGTCCGGACACTTTCACCCCCTTCCAGTCCGGACACTTTCACCCCCTTCCAGTCCGGACACTTTCACCCCCTTCCAGTCCGGACACTTTCTCCCCCTTCCAGTCCGGACACTTTCCCCCCTTCCAGTCCGGACACTTTCCCCCCCTTCCAGTCCGGACACTTTCACCCCCTTCCAGTCCGGACACTTTCCCCCCTTCCAGTCCGGACACTTTCCCCCCCTCCCAGTCCGGACACTTTCACCCCCTTCCAGTCCGGACACTTTCCCCCCCTTCCAGTGCGGACACTTCCCCCCCCTTCCAGTCCCGACACTTTCCCCCCCTTCCAGTCCGGACACTTTCCCCCCCCCCTTCCAGTCCCGACACTTTCCCTCCCTTCCAGTCCGGACACTTTCCCCCCCTTCCAGTCCGGACACTTTTCCCCCCCTTCCAGTCCGGACACTTTCCCCCCTTCCAGTCCGGACACTTTCCCCCCCTTCCAGTCCCGGACACTTTCCCCACCTTCCAGTGCGGACACTTCCCCCCCCTTCCAGTCCCGACACTTTCCCCCCCTTCCAGTCCCGACACTTTCCCCCCCTTCCAGTCCCGACACTTTCCCTCCCTTCCAGTCCGGACACTTTCCCCCCTTCCAGTCCCGACACTTTCCCCCCTTCCAGTCCGGACACTTTCCCCCCCATCCAGTCCGGACACTTTCCCCCCCCCCTTCCAGTCCCGACACTTTCCCCCCCATCCAGTCCGGACACTTTCCCCCCCTTCTCGCCCCCAAAGGCCAATTTTCAGCTTTCAGCGCTTTCACACTTTTAATGACAATTGCGCGGTCATGCAACACTGTACCCATATGAATTTTTTAGCATTTTTTTTGAGACAGATAAAGCTTTATTTTGGTGGTATTTATTCACCGCTGGGATTTTTATTTTTTTGCTATATAAATGAAAAAAGTGTTTTTCTTATAACATTTTGCAAATAAATAATCTTTCTTCATAAATCTTGGCCAAAATGTATTCAGTTATCTTTTTAGTTAAAAAAAAAACAAAAAAAAAACAAATTAGTTTATAACCAAAAATTATAATTTTTCAAAACATTTTTTTACATTTTTATTTTATTTTTTTATATTATTATTTGTTTTTTTTTACATACTGTCACCCTATCAGTACAGTGTCACCATGGTGACACTGTACTACTTGTGGGGGGTGATGAAGATTTTTTTTTTTCTTTTTTTACACTGATTGCTTTTACACCCATAAAGGCTGTACAATCATTTCTCCTTCTCTCTGGCTGCATTCTTGCAGCCATTGAGAAATACTGTGAGAGCTGTGATTGGTCACAGCTTGTCACATGGTACAAGGATGTTGTGAATGGCCTGGACCATGTGACCTCTGTGATCATTCACAGATTTTACAAGTAGTAAGCAACAATGTCAGAAGTGACATCTTGTATACTACTATTCATGTGATCACTGATTAGCCAATCAGGGATCACATGAACTGGGATCTCACAATGAGGTCCCATACAGCGATCGTGGTGCCGTGCACTCCCAGGGAGTGCGCACAGGCAATGGATGCAATGGATGTTTTGCAATGTCCACCCGCATCGGCAGCGCTCCCGCCTGGCCATTTATTGACATGGGCCAGACAGGAAGAGGTTAATGCCAGGAGAATTGTGTTTTTTTTTACAGCAGACTTTATATGTAGCACTACCCCCCATTGGAGTTGCTGGGTTTTGGGTCCCCCTATAGTCCTGCACAGCCAGGCAACATGCATTTTCCCTTTCAGACGTGCATCCAGGAGACAGTAATCAGTCCTTGAGCTCGTCTTTTTTTTATTTTTGGGATTTTACTATGGGAATATAAAGTTGGATGAGGTAATGGGTGTAAGGGATGGCCAAGGGAACTGGCAACCGAGGACAATCTTCCTGGAACTATGTACAAGTCTCTTTAGCAGCAAAAATCCTCTTCTGTAGAGCCAGCCAGCATCTCCTGGTGTACCAAACCAGACCCCAGACCCCTGATCCAGCTTTTCTGGGTGAATCCTTGGGCAGGGGACCCAGTGCCTGTCACTTTAAGGGAAGACAGTCCTGGGTAGCAGCTAATCCAGTGCTCCTTCCCCTTACTGTCCCAGGGGGTGCAGGTCTACTCACTCAGTCCTCTGTATGTGAAGTGGTGGGTTGGTGGCTGCTCTCAGCCTTCTGCTGGGCCGCTCCTTCCCCTTACTGGCCCAGGGGGTGCAGGTCTACTCACTCAGTCCTCTGTATGTGAAGTGGTGGGTTGGTGGCTGCTCTCAGCCTTCTGCTGGGCCGCTCCTTTCCCTTCTTGGTCCAGGGGGTGCAGGTCTACTCACTCAGTCCTCTGTCTGTAAGCTAGTGGGTCAGTGGTCGCTCTCAGGCCTACTGCTGGGCTGCTCCTTCCCCTTACTGGCCCAGGGGGTGCAGGTCTACTCACTCAGTCCTCTGTCTGTGAGCTGGTTGGTCGGTGGCCACTCTCAGGCCTTCTGCTGGGCCGCTCCTTCCCCAT